ATTGACAAGTTGCACAACATCGGGAATCCATGGGAACCGCTCGGGCTGCCCAGTGGACGGGTTCCTTCAAGATTGCAGATGTAAGACACGGCTTCTTGAACTCTAAGGTTGGAGAAATATGAAGGTCCCGCTCTGCTGATTCTAGCACCTGATACGCCTGAGCTGCTTGCCATGCAAGGGCTGCACATTTGTTGCATTGTACTGTATTGATTATTGTACTTTTCAGAGGCAAACGGAAGGGTAGTGCACAGAAAGGGTTTTGCAAAAACCTGTTCTACTAACATCGTGGAAGGCGCGGGACATTCGTAGAACCCAAGGCTATTCGTGGACAGTTCGTGGAATGGTGGGCCAGTAGGAGAACTGACTGCAACGAAATCCCAGAAACTTTCGCAGAACTTCGTGGAAGGTATTTTTGATGCACTAACTTCGTATAAGCGATTTTTGCTGACCCCCTTTCTCCACACCCTCCATTTAGCCTTCAACTTTGGGTAAAGGAGCGGCAAAGCCAACAGCTCTCCACTATCAGAAGATATGCTATTGACAAGTGACAGGTTTGTTATGCTGCCCTTTGCATGTACCTTGGCATGCTCAGGTTTCATAGTGCAGCTGAGATCAATGCTCAATATTGCACTCAAATGGAGGCCCTTGAGATATCTGGGGTTTGAGTCTAAGTCATGAAGAAGACATGCCGTCAGCCATGACAAACGAAGACGTTCCGTGGTCATCCAACGTTCCGTTCATCATCACCGACGAAGCACGGTCGCATTAGGAGACTGATTTCACCCTCCTGCGATGTGCAAACCATGACGGATGTTTAGGAAAGCCTCGCAAAAGCGCCGGCTCCAACCTAGAAGCCTTTGTTACTAGTAGCTTATAGTAGCTTCTTGTTACTAGAGTAATGGCCTCCAACCTACTAGCGATGGCCTCCAACCTAATAGCGAAAAGGGTGCTCGAGAACCCTTTTCCAATTATTTGAAGTTTGTTGTTTCCAAGTGCTTTGCAGTGCGAAAGGTGGTCAACGGTAAAGGCAGCCACTACAACATGATGCAGGCGGGTAATGCCATTAGTTTTGATCCTGTAATGCATGGTGTCATGGATGACTTGTGATGTGCAGCGGTTGAAAAGAGTCTAAATTTGCTGGTCAGTAACCTGTTCAGGGTGAGCAAGCGGCCACACAGGCAGCACTTGTACTTGAGTTTGCCAAGAGGCTGGAGCTTTCACAAGCGAACTCAGGTTGCTTTTAAGCATTGTGTTCGCCCACATTCCTCAGGTTGGGGGGAGTGGCCGACGACATATCTTCCGCAGGAGCTTGCTGAGCTTTGTTGTGACTTCTCTTGCACCCTGAATATCCGCGATTGCCGGACCACATGAACTAATGGATACTAATGGCTTACATTAACGGTTTCTTTCTTTTTGTCTTTTTTCCTTTCGTTCTTTCTTTCTTCCTCGAATATGGTCTTTGTATGTCTTTGTACCGCTTGATACTAGAGATCGGATGCCTGGAAAGAGAATACCCGTGTGAGCCGGAGAGCAAGACATCAAGTGCTTCGTCCATGGTTTTTCAGTTCATCATGCTGGCTTCGAGTCCATGGGTGCAAGATGGTGCAAGGACTCGAGGCTGCAAAAAGCCAGAAGATGCTGATTCTGAGGCCCACCGTCCACATCCGTCCGCCGTGAAGCGACGTTTCAAACCAAAAGAAACACCGGACGGGAGAGATCCCATGAGATCCCCACACTTTGCTCTACGAACGTAACAAGAAGCTACGAACGGAACAAAGGGCATTTTTCCATGGGAGACGCCTGGGTTTTGTGTCTCCCTATCTTACTTGCCTTAGCTTAGCGGACTGCTGAAGAAGCGCATCAAATCCTACCAATTGCCAATAGCTATGAAAAATTGCAACCTTGGATTGTGAAGCTGTTGCTTAACGTCTTTTGGAGGCCTGGCAAAGTGGAGAGCTCCAAGGTCTACTTGATACATGGTTTGTGACTCAGGATTCCTCAGGATTCCACGAATGCTCTCGACCAGAACTGAGCAGCTTCTTTTTGATCTTTCGAAGGCCTTGACGGAGATGCTCTTAGCGGCGGTAGCACCTTCACGAGCATTGCGCAACGCCTGGCTCCATGCAGGCGGCAAATTAAGGATGGGGAACTGAAGGCACCTTGACTTCTCCTGCTCATGTAGAAATCCAGTTCCACAGCTGCTGTTCCTTCGTCTCAAGCCTTGCTGCCCGGGACTTGTCTCAATTTTTCCGGCGTGGAGCAAGTCAGGGTCAGAGGGTGTGTTGATGACCTCATCGTCGTTTCTGCGCCAGGGTGGGTGCTTTGGTGTACGATCAAGAGGACCTCAACCGGGAGAGACTGGCAACTCCCATCAAGACATCAAGACAAGCTTTGCGACGGAGTTGTAAATCAGTGTGAGATGATGTGCACAATACTGTGGAGATGTGTAACACCTTGTTCTTGAGACCAGCAACACTGTGGAGATGTGTGGAGAGGTGTTGCACACGGTGCGCGTGCTGGTGCGTGTCACAGAAGGCCCTGGAGTGCAATTCCATCCCGGATCTTGCTGCTTGCTACAACCGCCGGGCCGGAAGACCCAGATCCCGGGTTGAACGGAGACCGAAACCAGACATGTCAATCTACAGAGACAGAGGATGCGGCTGCACGGCTTAGTCAAACCGATTAGAAGGAATGAAGAAGGGAAAGGGCACAAAGTGAGAAGCTTCTGGTTAGTGCCCCCCCTTTCACGTGCTTTTGAGTGACGCTCATTTCAAGGGGTCTGAGCGACAAGTCTGGAATCTCCACATTATTGTAGTCAGTGTTATATATACTGTATATACATAGGAAACAAACACCTTAAGGGCCTCTTTGTCATGACAAGGCCCTCTTGAAGGGGCCATATTGTTAAAGAGGCCCTTAACATCCCTTAGCCTTAGCCTTAACATCATTTAGCTGGCTCTGGAAGGCCAAGCCTGCAAGTTTGATCAATTTTGAGATATGTTGAGTGTGTCGGCTATCAGGTCCTTGAAGATGTCAAGAGCAGCGGTGATGCCTTGGCCTTGGTGAAAGAGATTCCAATGTTTCATTCACTCTTCGGCGCTAGGCCGCTAAGCAATCACTGGGGTGGGGATGTGTCGGGATGTGTCGGGATGTGTCCAACCAGGGCAAAGAATTCACAAGAAATGTGTCCATCCAGTTTCGAAAGACTGGAGAACACAGTGATTTACACATTTCCTTTCACAGGCAGATGTGAAACCAAGGCCGGTGAGAGCCTGATAGTCATTGCAGGCACTGCACGACTTTATGCCGTTTGTATGCATCCTGCCAATTGAAACGGAATATGTCCCATGGGATTTGCTGTCAATAATGCGAAGGTTGTTTGCTTGGTTCTTGCAGGCTACTCTCATGGTTGTGTACTTGCTCATCAGATGGGGCATCAGCTGTACAAGGAGAGGAAGGGAAAGGATAGGCAAAATGATCCAAACCATTCGCCGTAGCAGCTCAGTCCATTGGGCAGCTCAGTGAATTGGGATCGCGCCTGCCTGTGGAGGCCGGCGTCCGGACGGCTGTGGTGATGTTCGACCTGGAGGTGACTTGGCCACCACCTAGCACCCACTCACGCGTGGGCGGCTACGAGTTCTTGGGCGGAGAGGCCGAGGCGCCAGCGGAAACGAGTTCTTGGCCGAAGAAGTTGCCAACTGGAAACCATCAGCTGATTGAGAGACAACCGACGGATCTTGACTAGAGTGTTCAAGGTCAGCTACAATTACAATTATACTTAATTAATTATAGCTGACTATCCACATTGTCATTGTGTGTGCCCTAGAAACAAGTGCAAATACTCAAACCTATGTGGATGGCAGGGGCTCTTTGATGGTAGGCTGATATTCAGAATTGCCTGTGTGTAAAATCGTGACACGGATGTTGATGCTTTCTTAGGTGTTGGCATGTGATTAATACTTGTGAGGTTCCCCAAAGCCTCCCCTACTGAATAGAGAGGGCGTGAACATGTGCTTGTCGCCAGGCCGTCTTGCTGATTTCGCGTGCTTTTGGCAAATTTGATTTTGCAATCAAGGAACCGCAGAGTGGCATGTTTGCACTTTTTTTCTTCTAGGGACCTACGAAGACGTAAGCCATTCTCTCTAGTTCGGACCATCAAAATGAGACGTCCAGAGTCCAGAGCAAAAACAGAAGGGACGGGTCCGATGCTTTGCGAAATGGGTGTTTCACGCTGAACTCGATATCGGGGGGCGAAGGAGTCCCCGCGAAGTCGCTGGCAGATCCCCGCGAAGTTGACCAAGTCTTTCAATTGGGGTAGATGGATCTCGAGTCCGCACGGAATTCCCCCTGACTGCCACTGGCTTTAGTGTTGGTGAGAGAGAACAGTCGGCCCCTAAATCCAGGGTCCCTGGCTTTCCAAATTCTGTTGCTTGCTGTTGTTGTCCGCAGACGGCATGAAGAGTTCCAAAATGCGAACAAGATTTCTCGTGCTTATGCAACATGACTGATGGCAAATACTTGGCATAGCCACGTATAGACTATGCTGTATTATGCGGTACCGTTTGAATCCAGTTGAATCCATTTAATACATCCGAAATTATTCAACACATCCAGACATCCGTCGTCGCACCATCGCCCGTTGGAACTTCCCGATGAGGAGGCGATCGAGCTCACCAAGATGAAAGCTCAGGGTCAAAGCGGTGGGCTGAGAACGGTGATCAGAGAGCAGTGCATTGCGCCAATCTATGTAGAACCTAGAATTGTGTTTCCGAACTCTTGACGGTGTCGAGGCATTGATGTGGATGCCTTGATAGAGAGAGCCTATGTCGCGTTGGGCCAACGCGGGCTGTGATCCAGACGTCTTTGAAGGGCGGAGAGGAGCTACTGTAGGGGTTAAGATGGGTTAAGGATAGTTAAGGGTTTCTTTGACTTTGGCTACAGTAATCAACAATTATATCACACGCACTTTCACACGCATTAATTTAAACTTGCTTATAAACTCTTTATTGTTCTATATTGTCTTTATTGCGGAGAGCAACGACGCACTCCCTGTTCTTGAAAAAAGATGACATCTTTTCCGGTGTCGTCGAATTGCGTCTATGGTCAGCCATGATCAGGCTGTGGCGTAGCGAAACGCAGAAGTCCTCCTTTGGCTTTCCTTTTTGAATCAACAGCCGCGTGATCTGCTTCGCGCGGACGCAACGAAAGAAGTGGGCTTGAGCCCAACGGCAAGAAGTTGGTTCGTAGGTTTGTATCATGAGCCCAAAGGCCGATTGCTCAGCATGACTGAGACAAAACATGGGCTGAATCTATTAGGGACCAGAGAGAGGTCGTGATTAGGGACCAGAAGATGATGGTGATCTCTGCTGCCGGACTTGCCAGGTCTATGGATCTCTTGAAGATGATGGTGATTCGCCTGAGTTTTATGAAAAAAACAGTCTCACACGCATCATCTCTCATTTCTTGCGCAAGGTTGTGTTTGAAGAGAGATCTCAGTCAGAAGCTTTCCATGTTGCGACGTGTTGTGCAAGTCTTTGACTATTTATATATTTTATATTATATACATGTACGGAACCATTGAATCATTGGCTGAAGGGTGGAAGGCCTTCTGCTCACGAATTGGCACCACAAGGTGAAGCGAGGCGGTGTCAATATTGAGAAGCTGAACAACATTGGGAATCCATGGGAACCGCTCGGGCGGCCCAGTCCCTCATGGTGCGCAGGCAGCTGAAGTCTAGCATTTGTGATCATTTGTGTGATTGTAAGTGCATTTTTTTTGTGTTCAACACCAGGAAAGCTCTTGTTCAACGCCTGGAGCTTGGCAAGCGCCCCTCCAAGGTTGGAGAAGTATGAAGGTCCTGCTCTGCTGATTTTGGCACCTGACACACCTGAGCGTCTTGCCATGGAAACCGGTAGAAACTTGTGTAAGCGTGGGAACCGGGAAAAGACAATTTGGGTTGTTTTGCCGTGAGAAGATTTGAGCACTTGTGAGTGACGACTGACGCGATTTTGTTCATGCTGCAATTTGCTGATTGGTTTGCCAAGGTTCCATAGTGCCGCTGAGATCAATGCTAGATATTGCACAAGAATGGAGGCGCTTTCTTGATGGAGTCTCTCACATTTGTATCGAAGCCGAACCTGAAGTTTGATAAGTATGTGGTATCAGGTTGACGTTGTATTGCAAAGAAGCGACAGATAGGGATGATTCTTCAGCATTCTTCAGAAACCTCTCCAACATGTGTTGAAGGGTGTATTTGGAACTTAGAGATGTGCCCCAACCAAGAGGAAGGTCATAGAAAACCGGACACAGTTAGTTTAAAGGTGTTTTTGTTTGTTTTTGCAGAGTTTTCTCATGCAAGGTGGTCACTGGAAAGGGAAGCCACTACAACATGATGCAGGCAGGCAGAAAGCCTGATGCGCAGAAAAGGATTGTTTTCGCACATTGAACGACCGTCCATTTTATTGATCCTCCTGGAGCTTTGCAGGGTGAGCAAGCAGCTGCACAAGCAGCCATCGTTCTCGAGTATGTGAAGAGGCCACAGTCAGAGAGGAAGTTTGCAAGGTTCCAGAGCATTTCGACAGAGAATCTTGGGCTTATGATCTAGTCGATCTAGTCAATGGCTGCTTTGCTACTAGAGTGGGTGGTCGAGCTTTCCAACACAGTATGACATGAAGACGAGTTTGTCGACCTGAAGAGGATCCTCATCATCCCTTGAACCTGTGGCAAACATTTACTGTAAGAGATTTTCAGAACATCCCCCTGCAATTGCATGTTTGGTGTTTCTTCGTTGTGAGGGCCTGTTGTCAAGTTGTTGCCGATGACAGGCTCTCAGAAGCTACCTTAGTTTGTCCTGCTGCAGAAGGCACAGCCGGAAGACCTGTGTCTATCCAACGGCCCAAAGCTGCTTGCCATCCTACTATTATGAGCTCCGAGGAGTCCCTTGCATGCATTTGCATGCTTTTGACACTCTGCAATATTTATGACATGCATGGATAACAGTCGGAGGATGCACAGGGCAGCTTGCAATTCGAAGTTTGAAGCTTCTCCGGACTGGCAATGACTTTGAACCTAGACGGAAAAGGACAAACAATTTGTTTGCAGCATGATTGTAACCACGTGGCAACCCAAAATCCTGACTGGTTGCCGACCAGGCATCACTGTCCTTCGGGATTGTCCAGGCCCATGTATATACTTTCTGTCCGGGCTCCTGGCCTTGATTGAACTCTGAGGGAAGGAAAACGACAGGACAGAACATGGTAATTAATATATAATCGTATGTATAGTAATGACTAGCTTGCGTGGTTTGTGAAAGTGGAAGTGTTTAAGCCCCATGTATGTCCTTGACATTTTATCCTCAAGAGCTAGCCGGGTGCCCAGTCCTTTGATGGATCGTGGTGCCGTGAACTGGGCGGTGGTGATCAGTTCACACCTGGTTAGGACCTTGCTGGAGTGGTCCCAGAAGGATGACTGAAATTGCTGGGCTGCGCATTGAGGTATTCAGGGCCCGTGAGCTTGTTGGAGGGCTCAACCAAGTGTTGGAGGCCTGCGAGAGGTCAATCAGCTGGCTTAGGACAGTCAATCAGCTGGCATTAGGCTTGGTTTTGTGTATTGTGTTTTTTGGGTGGTGCTTCTTCTTGTTGCCCGCACTCAGAAGGCCTCAGTTAGTTGCAAGACAGAACAGGTGACACGGTGACCCCACCTGCCTTGCCAGCGGCCGACCTTGCAGTTGTTCCAATGTTCGGACAGGGCCTGGACGACCCTCCGATCGAATCAAGCAGCGTGAGGAGCGAGCTTGAGCATGGGTCGTACACTCAACATTCCCGATCCTCAGGTGTTGATTCATTACTCTGGTGATGCCAACGGTTACTTTCATCACCGCCGGCTCCTCCTGCACAAAATCGGAAGTGGCCACTGGTTGGCTTTGACACCTGACTTGGACCTTGAAGTCCAAGACTTGAGCTCCACACGTCATCGGGTTGGCCCGTCTAGAGCTGAACTCGACAGACAGAAGAGACTGGCTCGAACGATGGGTGCAATCCTTGACGACTCACAGGTTGTCAATGTTGATGAACAGCAGTGGTACGTTGTTGACCCGTCGATCCTTGCTTGAGACGGCGCGGCTGGGCTTTTCTCGGGATCAGTTGGACTTGAGCAACCTCATCAGCTGTTTTGAGAACATTGTCCGGACTCATTATCCTTGAGATGGCCGTGGCGCGAAATCCTGCTGCCCCTGATTTCTTGGGCCTGGATGTGGTGAGTGAATCTCCAGTGACGGCTCAAGGCCAAGCTTATGTCTCGGCCGTCAACAGCTGGATTGCAGACAGGCTGAAGGAGCGATCACAGATCCAGAAGCAGGCCAGGCTTTATCGAGAGGAGTTCGGTGGCCGTGGCAAAGGAGGCAAGAAGTTTGACGCCGGCGAGGACTACCAGGATGGCGGCTCGTCCAAGTGGAAGAACAAGAAGAAGAAGAAAGCAGATGGCGCCGGCCAAGCAACCGGCTCTGCTCGCGATGCATAGTCTTCCATTGGTCGCTCCGTTGGTCTGTGTCCCTCAGGCTGAGCGGCTGACCCTTTGCTTAATTTTTCTGGAGACATCTGATGGCTCTCTGTCATCAGCGGAGAAGGCATGGTGATCCTTTCCCTCTTAATGGTCGACATCTTTTTGAGAGGGCAGCTGACTCCGCTTGTTTTGACCCACAGCGAGCTCAATGGATTGGCGAAGCGCTGAGCAAGCTCGCTCTGCAAGACAAGAATTCAATCGGTTCTCCGCATCTTGCTTCAGAACGTCAGCCTGGTTGAGTCCCTGCAACACGGGGCCAAAAGCCGGAGGGTGCTGCTCCGGACACTGCTCTTCGTGACGCGCAGGCCGCCGAGTTCTCCTATGATGGAACGCCGAACAACTTATATAGCCTCTTCTGACCTGGGAAAGTTGAAGGTTCTTCGGTCCCAGGTTCAGCCAAAGAGGATTACCAAGTTTTTGCAAGTTGAGCCAGCAAAGTTGGTGGAACACTATGAGTCGCGGCTTAACAGACCCTAGTTTTCCCCGTACTGGGACCCTGCCCTCAGGTTTGACAAGAAGAAGAGGCTTGACTTTATCATCCTGAGGCTGCATCGTGGGACACGTCCTTCATTGGAGCATTTTTTGTGAAGAAGAAAACTCCTGATGCTATCCGTATGGTGTTGGACTGCAGAGGGACAAACCGACTCCATTAACCCCCCTACTACTAGACTTGGATCGGCAAGGTGCTATGTGGCTCGTTTGACAGGCGATCAGGGATGCCTTTTACAACTTCTCGATCCCAGAACTGACCCATTACTTTGCGTTCAACCACCCACTTGATGCGGCTACGTGGGGTACCCTTGGGGTTTTTACTGGAGACCCTAATATGAGAAGGGAGGTCCGTGTTGATCCTGACGAGATTTTGTTTCGTTGTGTGGAGGCTGTTCTGATGGGTTGGTCACGGGCCCTTTATCTATGTAATGAAGCAGTTCTCAACATTTGCAAGCAGAATGCCCTTGGACAGACGGTGTTTTCCAGAACATCTTTGGGTGTTTATGTTGACAACATTACAATTGTTGGAGGTAGTTTTGAGGATGTGCAAGAAAGGGCCCAGCACGTTGCAGAATCGTTCAAGAAGGCTGACATACCACTCACCTGGTCACAGAACGTCCCTGTCAAGGCTCTTGAATCTGTTGGGTGTGTCCTGGACTTTGAGAAGAAAGTGCGGATCAACAAGCCTAAGAGAGTCTGGAAGTTCTTTTTGGCCACATTGGCCTTGCTGCGCCGCAAAAGTCTAAGGCAAGACTCTGCAGATATGGGCGGGGCACTACACCTCGCTTTGCGCCGTGTGGACTGAGTTGGTTGGAACACATATACCGGTTCATTGGTACCAGACGTAGAGGGTGCAAGTTTGGACTTCGGTTCGCAAGGAGCTCGAGCAGGAGCAGGCAGCTGCGCTGCTATGTTTGACATGAAGACATCTGGGCGCACCCCTTTGCAGGACTGTGGAGGTTGGAGACTCATCAACTGTGGGCTATGCACTCATGGCCTGCCGGCCACCTGAACGGCTGTTCAGGAGTGCCATGGCCACTCATGAGAAGTGGCGGTTCATTGCTATGCCAGAAGCCCTGAAGACAGCGGCGGTGCAACTTGCCGGAAGTCAGGGGGGTTGGAAGATGAGCAAAGATGCAGACCTGCTGGCTTGTCAACGCAATATGCCAAGATGATGAACTCGTTGCAAGAGGGGTCATGGTTGGGAACCTCCGCGATCAGATCACAGATTCGAGCGCAGCCTGCGAAGAGAGTTGATGTTGACATACCTTCATTGGTTGAACCGCTGGATGAGTTTTTTGCAGACAGACAGAACTTCAGACTTCTTTGGCTAAGACGTGGGCGTTACAGTGATGAGCATATCAACCTTAAAGAATGTCGGGTTGCATTGTCATCGTTGAAGCGTAGTTGTCGGGTCAGGGAACTGCGGCCCATCGCAAGCTAACTTTTTACATGGCAACTGTTTCAGCGCTTTCCAAAGGTCGTAGCGGATCATTTGCAATGAACAGACTTTGCAAGATTGCCGCTGCGTTCCAGTTATAGGGTGTGGGATGATCTGGCATTTGAGACATGTTGAGACAAAGCGGAACGTGGCAGATGAACCGTTGTGCAACTTCAATAGGGGAGAGAAAAGCCGCTTTGACAGCAGCCCGGTGGTCACTCCAGATCCCTGCAGTGGGCTCAGCGCTGAGCCTAGCCAATCGAGCAAGCAGGTAAGATTCGGAGAGGTCATCAAAAATCCAGTCCCCCACAGTTTGCTGGCGCAGGCAGACTTAGTCAGGCCTTCGCTAAGAGTGGAGCTCCGGTGCTGGAGCCTGTCGAGGTCTTCAACGACCCCGCTTTTGACCTTCGTAGGAGACAGACTCAATTACTAATCCTTAGATGGATCAAAAGTGGAACAATTGGCTTTGTGCACCTTGGGACTCCGTGTGCAATTTGGTTGCGGGCTAGACATGGGATGAAAAATACACTCAGAAATCTTGGACGGGAAGCGGTTGGTGTTGAACTTACCCTTTTTACACGTGAAGTGATTGTTGCGCGCAATCGGGCTGGGGTTCCGTGGGCCGTCGAGAACCCAAGATCATCACGCTTGTTCAATTTTGAGCCACTTGTGAGAGCAATATACAGGACCAGTTTTTGAGGTAAACTTTCGGAGTTTTGAGTTGATCCAAGCACGTGGTAGATGGGCTGCTCCTTTGTCAGTCCAACGTTACCGCAAACCTGGTCGGCTCCTCATAACAGTGGCTACGCTCCCAGCTCCCTTCAGAGCCTACGATGAGGCCCACGCCATAAGGCTCTGTGGCACCTCTTTTTGCATTCATGGGCTGGCACCAGTTCCCTCCATAGCAATTGGGGGTGTGGGCGGTCGAGCGTGAGCCTTTGACGTGCACGTTCAATTGCTGAGTGTTCGTTGATGATGTACAGCGTTGAGTGGAAAAGGCGTTGGGTGGCATCTGGGCTGGGAAGATGGAACGGTCAGCAATGACTAGCTTGCGTGGTTTGTGCAAGTAGAAGTGTTTAAGCCCCATGTATGTCCCTGACATTTTATCCTCAAGAGCTACACACCACACCCATCCCATTCTTATGGATGGGGCAGTCGAGCATGAGCATTTGACGTGCACGCTCGATTGCTGAGTGTTCGTTGATGATGTACAACGTTGAGTGGAAAAGGCGTTGGGTGGCATCTGGGTTGGGAAGACGGAACGGTCAGCAATATATATATATATATCTAATGTATTATATGTAGATATTTACTGTATATAGATATCACATATATTCTAATCACGAAAGGTAACTTGATCCTTGCTTTAGCAAAAAGATATTACAATCAGGAGTTGGGATTGTGCATTGAATTTGGTCCTGTAAGAGTTGATTCTGTTCGTCGGGGGGGTCCCTGGATCAAATCCCCCCCGCCGTCATGGACTTCTACCAGGGTTGCTTGTGATTGCCTGCTACCTTTCGTTCACCCCCTCCTCTCTCAAGTATTCAACACCATTCGATCAGTCAAAATTCGTGTGTTCGGATTAGCCTGAGCCCCCCCCAAAAAGGGTGAATGTCCAAGGCATGGCCTGGATGGAGATGCCCTGGGACCTGGGATGAACCTTGGATCGTTGCCGTCCTTGCTGTTCCTCAGTGGCATGTGGCGGCCGGTGGCAGAGTTGGGAGCCGACTCAATCAACATCAATAGCAAGGTGCTTGCATAGAAGTATAGAGCAGGTTAGGTGTCTGGTTGGGAAGTTGGACTGTTTGCCAAAGAACCCAGCTTAGAACAATAGATTGACTACTTGAGTCATGCCGACTCCAATAATGTCGAATCCACTTGGACCGCAGTGGCAGACTTCGTCAACCCGGCTGCGCCATGCTTGGTTTCCCTCAGGTCCGGCCGCATTTGCAGCATCGAGTATGATGATGAGGTGTGGACTTTCGTCTTTCTCGTAGAAGCAAGAGACAGTCTCCATTGTAGCAGTTGTGAGGCGGAGACAGCAAGAAACTACTAGTAACAAAGGGCATCGCTACTAGGAGCAACAAAGGGTGCAACTTCTTCAATCTTTTTGTATTTGCCATTCTACCAGACTGAAAAGTGTTTTACTCGTTTGAAAGCCTTCACAGGCCTTTGCTTGTGAAACCATTGAAGCGTTGGCCAAGCTCTACAAAGAGCGCATCCTCCAGGCCGGGCGCTTTCTTTACCCAAAATCTTTAGCTTTCGATACACGTGATTTCCGAGGATGGGATGGCCATTGCACGTGATTTTGGTTTGTATCCAGTCGCATGTGCAATCCATTTGGTCTAGAGTCTATACCATTCAATAGCCTTTAAGCTTCCATAAGCTTCCCATATCGTCACTTCTTGACACACTCCGACACACTCCTTGTGTTCAACAAGACGGGAACTGATAAGGCAATTACTGAAGGTGCTTAATTAGTCTGGTGTCAATGATTCAAATCCAGGTAGGCACGTGATGGCACGTGCTTGTATTGGAACAAAAGGGACATCAGCGACACTAATGTAGAAGGATGAGCAAAGGCGGCAAAGATGTTTTGCAGCTCTTTGTTGCACTGAGGACCGGGCATTGCGACCAGATGGCAAGCGACTAGTGCTTGTGGGTCGCTCGATCGGTGTGGCCTGACTCAAAATATTACTGTAGTTGTTGCGGTGAAGGCTTGTGCCAGTAGGTGGTATACGTTGGGTGGGGTTTAGGATATTGAATCACATATATAGCAAGTCACATGACATTTCAATTGCTCCGGGTTTCATGGTTTGGCATCCTAAAGAACTTACAGAACCAGGACACTTCTTGGGTGCCCAGGCCCTAGTGGCCTCGTTGATTGCACTGTACCTCCAGAAGGACTGAATGTGCATAGGGTCGGTGATTTCGCTCAGGGCAAGGGGTGTTGTTTGAGTTAAGCCATCTATTTATGAAGGTCAAACGACCCATGCGTCAATGTTGCGTGTGTTGCCCGTGACAGAATATTTGAACATGCGATGGTCACAGCTCGTCCATGAGGGGATGATCGCGACGCGTCGCGAAGCGATCATCCAGGCTGTGCATTTTGTGTTTGAAATCGGTTGGACGATGGGGAAATTGAATAACACATAATTGAACTGATCAGTGTATTACGCTATGACTGATTCATGTCATGTCCTATACACTGAGAGTTGAAAGACTTTACCATTACGGCATGTCACGGCCCCCAAACAAGCCCCGATGTAGGACCACGTCGAGTGCTTCCTGGTGATACTCAACTCTGAGGCCAGGGAGTTGACATTAGCAGGCATTTTGCTTGAAAAGCACGTGATGTAGACCTGAGAGCATCCCAAAGACTTTAATTGAATCCAGTGTTCTTGGCCTAACTTCTTCCCAGATGCCCGTGCTCAGTATTTACAGTCTGTTGAAGCGTAGAACTTCTTGCACCAAAATCACCGTGTTGCAGGCTTTTGCATTCTTGCTTCGCGTTCTGCTTGGTGCAGAAAGCTTTTGTCAATGAGGTCGTGTGGCCTTCAAAGCTGGACGACAGCTTTTGCTATGCTCCTTGACACCAGCTTGGTCGTTTTGCTGGGTCGTTTTGCTCGCTCCTCCCCTGACTTTGAATATTTTTACTTTAAATAAGCGGTGGTATCAGTGTTTAAAACAATGCAAGGCTGCGTTGTATGTGGTGTGGCATACCAGACGTGCTTGAATCAGATGGTAGACATTAAGGGTTCCTCAAGTTGACAAAAGCCTGGTTTGGTGGTCAAGGACTGGCTTGGAGGAGAGGTTGAGGACTGGCTGAGGGGGATCGGATTAGTGTTTCATCTCTAGAGCCACTTCTGCCAAAGCTCAGACTCGTGGCATTGAAGTGGTACCTTCTAGACTTCTAGACTTGAAGAGACTTGTTGACCTATGCATGCTGAAGTAGCAAACATCTACTATGATTTGACATGCAGGTTACGCAGGTGGCATTTGTTTTACACTTTTGTTGCCATTCCGACCCACGTGGTCTCTGGCAGGCCACCTTTTGGTTGAGCCACCTTGCGGGAGCAAAAGCCTTCGTCGATGAACAGGCAAGGGGAAATGCCTAGGGCAGGTGGGTCCATTGTAACTATTTCTTTCGGAGCTGGAAGAACTTGTGCCTATTCTTTTGGTGCACAGATGCTAAAAGAAGAACGGAAGAGTAATACAAATGACACCTTGATGCAATCTGATGCAATGACAATATATTCAGATATTTTGTCGTGCCACACTTGTTTGGAGGCAATATTGACATCACGAACTGTCCTTGTTAGCACACATTGTACAATGCCAGTCATGCCAGACAAGTGCAAAGAAGTACTAAGTACATGGAAATAAGAGCAACGAATTGATATCATAGCAGTTGGAACCTTTGCCACAACCTGAGCAGCACAGCTTTCTAAAGATGGGTGGTGCGGACGGCATTTTCTTGAGGTCCAGTCTGCAGTCACTCGAGGAAAGGCTTTTGCTGAAGGTGCATCAAGGCTGCTTTGAGGGTTTGCTCACGATCATGGGCCATCAATAATGAATTATGTTTTCTCTATTGTAAAATATGCACATGTTATAATTGTTATAATATAGTATAATACACGTTCTAACAATATGGCAACAATGCACACAATACCTCTAGAGACCTGAGACCATCTCGGTTTCTGGTGTCAAGGCTCAGCAAATAAACAGCAATTAAACAAACATTTATATATTGTTTCTACTAGCTTCTTGTTCCTAGTAGTACGGCACTTCTTACTAGTAGCGATGCACTTGTTCCTAGTAGCTTATTGTTTTTGGTTAATATATAACCACCCCTTTGCATTGAACAACCACTTCTATCGCCCTCGCTTCGACATCCGCCGGACTCATCCCCTTGTGGGAGGGGTCGAATATTGGGGGTTTTATTTATCAGGGGTCTACATTAAGATCTCTTTTGTTCCACAAAGTCTTTTGAGTCTTTTGAGGAATGGATGTTTGTGGCAGGCACGTTTCAGCTGCACGTGTCAGGCTGCAGACGGCGGCGTTTGGACAAATTGCCTCTAACTTGGAAGCCTTTGGCATTCGCTCCTTGAAGGTTGGAAACTGGACAAACGACATGTGGCATGCCTGTCAGAAGTGGCAGCCGGTGCTTAGGCAGACCTTTAGTACACAATAGTAAACATAGCTTATATAAATAGCTTTGAAGTGAGCAAAACAAGGGGTTTTCCATAGCTGCAGCGCCAGTTTGGTGCATGCCCTATGCTAGAGTCAATCATCGCTAGAGTTGTCGATCATTGACTTGGAGATGAAGCTTCCGCTTGTCTATCAGGAGTTTCGCAGTGTTTGCACCCTGGCGAGCTCCCACTGTGCTCGGCTGAGCCGGAATCTCAGGGAAGAAGCTATAATGCAAAAAGCTCAATGTATTGATATGTATTGTGAGGTCAGACTTGCCAGTGGTCCAAGAGCTGAATAGAGAGCAAACAGAAGCATACCCTTGAGAATAATGATCATTTACCATTTGAGTACTGACGCAACTCTGTGGGGGTGGCCACAAGCAGCGCTCGTCTGAGGACAGCTGTTGCGACCTTCTGCTGTCATGCGCCCAGAAGCGTTTTGATTTCTTTATAACCAGCGAAGCCCCAGGAACAAGAAGCTACTAGGGGCTCCTGGCCTTACTACTAGGAACAAGGACGCTACTAGGGGCTCCTGGCATCGCTACTAGGAACAAGGACGCTACTGGCTTGGTGGGTCGTGGACGAGCGGATTTTTTGGGCTAGCGGATGAAGCGGAGCCAAATTTTCGGCACCGAATTGAGGGCTCCATGCGGACGCCTGCGGGCATTTTTGATGGCAAGGTGCTGGTCATCACAGGCAGGTCTGGGATGAGATTCAGGGAAGCGAGCATAAGGCATAAGCAAGGCAGGTTCAGGTGAAGAGCGAAAACAGTGGTCTATTCTTTCAAGGCCACTAACATGGAATAACCTGGAATAAGACAAGGGGGGTGGAGGTGAAAGTGTCTCCGAAGATGTTTAGCTTTTACCTTCATGTTACTTCCTTGTCAAGTTGAAGACTGCACAGATACCCATATCAAGACTGAAGACGACAGCGGGGCCAGGGGCTGCCAACTGATTCGTCCGTACGAACTCCGGCAGAATGTGCTGAACGTTTGAGTGCGAAGGTGCTGAACGACAAAGCAAATTGGAGCAGCCTTGACCTCGGGACGAAACATAGTATGCTTTGGTCTGACTTAATGATCCAAAGGCAAGGACCAGGGCCGAACATGGCAAGTCCAAAGCTTTCAATGAGTCTTTTTTGTTTTTCAAGCATACTTCTGAATGGTTAGTCACCGTTGGTCCATTTGGCCGAGGTCTGCGAGACAATATTTTCGGAACATCGTCACGCGTTGTGTCAACACTGATGACCATGAGGTCTACGTTGTACCCCAACGGCATGTTTTGGATCGACCGTGACCTCGTGCGAACTGGAGCCCCGTTCGTAGCGTCCTTGTGGTCCCCTCGGTTCGAAGGTTCGTTCGGGCCCCTGAGTTCCCATCAATTGCTGTTGAGCCCCCCCCTCAACACGGCATCTAAGAGGATCCCTCAAACAGAGAGCAATTGATATGATTGATATGATTTGGGGGTTGGCAGGCAGGATTTAGCAAGTATTCTTGAGGTAGATCGACATTTGATGATGATCTATAGATATCCATACTATTAAAATGTGTGCAGGGCTGGGGAAAAATGCAATTAGCAAATAGAGGACAGGCCTGGATTGGGAGTGCTGGAAGGGGGACAGGACATGAGTGCCGGGTTTGCGAATGTTTGTGATGGTTTCACCTTCGAGGTCTGCGACCTGACGTCACCAGACGTAAAGGAGCCCATGACGTCCATATCATTCAGACCATGAAACAAGAGGACGCTACGAACGGAGCAAAGGGCATCGCTACTAGGACCAAGGACGCTACTAGGGGCTCCTGGCCCCTGGCCGTCCTACTAGGAACAAGGACGCTAGTAGGACCAACAAAGCAGAACTTCAGCAGAACCCAAGCCATGCGCTCTCATCGGAGATGCTTTACGTAGAGAGAGACGACTTTTCAGAGAGGTTCGGCGAAAGCTTACCTTCGCTTTGCTTGGAGAGCTGGCCACGTAAACCTTGGATAGAGGCTTCTCTTTAAAGATTGCTTGGGACAAACGAAATCACTCTCCCTTAGACGGGCTCAGACGAGCAGCTTCAACAACTTCTGTTACTTGCTCGTGCTAACCTGTTCTGAAGCTGATGATTTTTTTGCTTTTTCAACTGCCAAGCTGATCAAGCAAACACAGTTTTTTTGTACGCATCCAAACCTACATGAGTAAACTTAGGCGACGAAGGAAACACTCTAACTAAGGCTCGACTAGAAAGATAAGTTTTCTTCTCTTTAAGAAAAAACCTTGATCCTCCTGCTCAACGTTTTACGCTGAGTTTGAGCCGAGAAGCTTGAGCCAAAGGCTACGGATTGTCTGCTTGTAGGTGACCTTTCCCTGTCTCGTGCCCCGCTACCACCTGAAAAACCTACTACCTTAAGTAAGCAGATTACACACGTTCTAAACACAAGCAAAAGCACGTGCAACAGCTCGCAAGCAAGGCGAAAGCACTCGCACACCTTTTACGCGCACTCTCTGGGCCTTGAGCCAAAGTAAAAGTGCAAACGGCCATGAGGCACTCCTGTAACAAGCAATTTCCATGCGAGATACCGAAGGTATCGAGCTTAAAGCACTCAAATATGCACAAAACTGTTCAAGAAACATTCATACTACAAAAGCTACACAAACTTCTGTTCACAAAGCTTCCAAACATTGTACATTCCACGAGCTATGCAGAAAACACCGTACACTTTGTACACGGCTGGCAGGGCTCGCGCCCACGCTCCCATATGTGAAACTGTGTGAGGTAGCGAGTTGAATGAGTAGTTGTGACATGCATAGGTTTGAGACACTCATGTGTGCATTTCAGACATTCCCTGGACATGCCGGCAGAGCGAGCGGGCGGTCTGGTGACATGCCTAGTCTGCAACGCCTCCTTTTCCCAGTGGCCCTTCCAGACTTTCAATTGTGGCGTATTGTGGCTAGTAAGTCGTAGTCATAGCATATTATGATGATATTGTACAAAGCGCATCATTGTACAATATTGTACATATATTATAGATATTAATCAAATTTACTGCATGTACAAGTTTACGTAGTTGGATCCTAAAGCATCCAAGACTATTTTTTCCAAAAGTTTTGGTGGGCATCAGTTCATCAACCCTGCCCTGCCACATTCCGGATATATATATATATGCATATCATATCAGAAGTATATAGTATTGGGGATCCAAGCCAAAAACGACTATCTACCACATTCCTGATCCTCCCACTATCTCCCCCTCAACCCATTGGCAACGCTTCTCATTCTCATTTTGATATGACTTTTGACGCTGATTGGATGCACGTGTCTTCGCATTCTACATCAATCGACACTCAAAGTCACAAACCATCAAAAACCACTGTCTGAAACCGGCTTGGTGCAGACGCAGTGATCGGTGACTCGATAGGACACGATGTTGACCGGTTGGAGGGGGTTTCTTTTTGGAGATTCAGTCCTTAATCGCATGGGTTCCCTTTTCAGTGTTTGGCTCCGATCTCCAGGCTGATCTCCCATCATGTCTCATAGGTTGCAACAAAAGTGTTGCCACTTGATGCGACGACGTGTGTCCCCTTCATCCTTCTTGCTATTCCTTTCCCGTTCTTTCCGTCCCTCATCGCGAGGCAGCCATCATCAAGTTTGAGGCCTTCCAATTTGTTTTCAACCCTTTGTTGTAAGAGTAATGTTGGACCATATTCCCAAGGTTTGTGTGGAAGGCTGTTCAGGGATTACGGCTGCTTCTAGTTTCTACCCCTGATATCCCCTGATACTGTAGGTAGTTTGCTTGTAAACCAAGACGGTTACTTCTCGATTTGTCCTTTCGCGTGCTGCAGCTTTTGCAGTCTTCCTCGAGTCCACTCGACAGTCGTCAGCAGCTTGAAACAAGTTGGCCAGGGCGCAGTGGCTTCTTCAATAGCAAGTGAGATATCTCAGTTCCTTGTTCAGGACTCATCCGCCTGGAGGGGAACTCTGAGTAAGCTTGATACAGTTGTCAACATGCACGCCTCATGGCATCTCATAGATGTTGCCGCTTCAACGTGCAAAAGCAAAGACTACTTTAACCAGTTTGAGATCAAGTATATAATATGCTTCAATTGAGGTATTACATAATATTACCATGTACTACCATAATATAAGTACTCAAAAAGTATTATTCTAGGTATTACAATTTCATGTGATATGGTATTACATTGTAATACAATAATTACATACATACTTCGATGAAGGTCTGTTAAGTTTTTTGGACGCGGAGATGCCAGCCCGACTCTCCCAGGACCGGACCCGGGTCGACGGTGACAGAGATCCCAGGTGCGGCGGTCAAAGCGAAATGACATGAAACCAGGCATGAACATGTACAGTAAGCTAGTAGTAGCGTCCTTTCTCCTACTAGCGATGCCCTTTGTTACATAAATGACATTAAACACTCAGATGGCTGTGGGTCAAAACCTGAAGCACCAAATCCTGGTGGGTTGACATCCCCGAACACAGAGGAATTTGTTCATTTTCAGCGGTCAACCAAATCAACGATGACCCACAAGCAAATTGCACACGCAAACTGCCCTCTGCAAATTGCACTTAATGACAATGTGGGATTCCTCAGCTTTTCCTTGAATTTTTGGCTGGCAGTGTCTAGCTCATAATCGGCAGGCATGAGGCTGAGAGTTTGGATGCAGCACATGTTCCAATCTATGTAGTTCCAGGAGACTTGGCCAAGCTTGGTGGGGCGTGTGTGCGTGTTCAACCTGCAAGCACTCAAGCAGATCCTTTCTTATCAGGGAATGCTGCTTGGGGTTGTGCAGGACTTCCATGTGCTTTTTGTTCACTTGAAGGCTTTGAGTTGAGCAACCGTGAACGTTACACACGGCTCATGAGAACACTAGCGCACGCCCTTTCAATACTTATTTTCTGGTGCTTCTTGCAATGTTGACTATTTGGGCATTGGAAACCAATTAGAAGAGCACCACTTGTCAATTTCTGCCTCAAAGCCAGAAAAGTAGCACCTCCAATCTGTGAGGATGTGATGGAGGCGTTTTGGGCGAGCTGGCATCATTGGTTGACATCCTGAATGCCGACACCGGTGGGGTGCTGGTTTTCGACCAAGAGGTGCCAAGCCGCAGACCGCCCCCAGATATCAGATGTTCAATTCAGCTGTGGAATTCCACTATGAAAAATTACATCCGGATTGTTTATATAAATGCGACATGCATAAGTGGCTTTTGGTGGAGGTCATATCATGAGGTCAAAGCCTCAAATGCCAACAAAGCAACTGTTGATCCTGGAACTGCCTTGCAGCGAGGCCAGAAGATGTTCATCCTTGGCAGATCTGGCGGCACTCTTTTTGCAGCGAATCTCTGATGACCAAGCATGGATCTCAGAGGCGGGGTGTTTGGGAAGATACCACGTGTTGCTTTGAGGCGAAGTGTGTTTTTCTTTATGGAAGATACCGCGAATGAAGAAGCAAGGCTCAAACAAAGCTTCTTGGTGCAAGATCTAGCCATGGTGTTATTCAAAGTTGGGCTTGGACATGCCAATTACATCTAATTACCCCTGGATCCCTGGATCCTTCTTTTGACAGCTCACAAGATCATTCTACCTTGTTCACTTTGGAGAGGTCGCTTATAACAGCTACCAGCAAATGCAGCATATCCGCAGGGCATTGGCATCCTTCCTGTTGTTTTGCTATTCATAAACATATGGAACCATGAATACGACTGGTCCACTGAGAATGACGACTAGCTTGATCCTTTCAGCCAGGAACACGTTGCGTTGGCATAGATGCTCTCTCAATGACCATTGGTGTACCTCGAATTACATAGGACCAAAATCAGTATTGCAAGATGCTTCAAGAGGTTACGCTTAAGCACCTAAGCTCCCCATTGATCTCTGGCTGGATGTTTCTTGCTTGAGTGATGCTTTGTTGGCGCAGGGAGACTTGCCTGATGCGAGCCTTTGCAAGGTGCGAGTGAGATGAACCTCGGGTTTCGGGACGAACCTCAAAAAAACATCCATCAGGTGTATAGACGATCTCTCAGGTGTGCATCTCTATGCAACTCTTGGTGTGAGCACATTGTTTCAATTCAGAGTTCGCGGAGTGAAACACTCAGGTGCTTTTGCTGGGGCATAGCAGCGGTGCACCCTTAGCCTACGACGCTTGGCCTACTACGAAGTCCGGCAAAAGAGGTGGACTTGGCCCGCTGAACGAATGGGGGCCTAAATGAATAGAGGCTCAGACCCACCATCCATTTTCCTGTTTTTTCATGTTTTTTCCACGAAAACTTCAGAGCGCCTTTGGTGGCGTTTGGATGTGTTTGGGAAAGGCCGGGAGTGGTTTTGACCGGAACGTTCGCTTTTTGAGAGCAACCGAAAAACGACACAACATTCAGTACTTGTGTGTCGAATTTAGCGTGCGTTGTTCTTTTGGAGAACGACGCATCCCCTTGTCTTCTTGTTTTTTCTCCTGAGGAAATGGCTATGCAACTCCAAGACTGTGGGGTCGATGTGCGATTGGTCATCGTCCAAGGCATGATCGATGATAGTGTTCCTTGAGAACATGATCGATGAGAACATGACCGTTTGCAAGATTGGGTCAAGCCAATCGGTTATCACATGTTATCACCTGATTTGGGAAAGAAGGGTTTCTATATTGTTTCTCATCACCTGGCACAATGCCAACAGATGTTATACAGGTTCTCGGCTCTTTAATGTCTCCTTATTTTACTTGTCTTTATACTTCAACGCTTTGTTCCATGCCATGCATGATTCTACGGAGTGACAGGCGAAGTGTCCCGTGCTGGTCCAAGCAGCACTGGCTTAAGCGGCTGCTGGTTGGGCAGCACTTGTGAGGCTCAGCCGTCACTAATAGATCTGAAAAGTCATACGTAATATGTGAGATTGACACCAGGCAAATCCGGACGAATAGCAGTAGTTACTTCTGATTTGTGGGGCCACCAAGTCATACCATGTTTGGTTTTGAATCGGTGAAACGCTTTCTTGACCCTCGGGCACTGCCCAGCTGATTGGGCTAAAGTGATGCGAGGCCATCCTCCTCCTTGCAAACCGGGTTGGTGAAAGAGAATTTGCACTCAAAGAAGCAGAAGCCATGGCCAAAGCACGCCAAAATGGCCAGAAGCTTTCACGAGGACGCAGCTTGCAACTGAAAATGTGGTGGTCACATTCCAATCCTTGTTGGTTACACTTACAATATCTTACAATGTACCATCCTGTTTACAGTTTTTGTAACAAAGTTGAGTAGATGTGGCAGTAGTGGCGGTGGCAAATTGTCTTTCCACGACCTGTGCTATGTCCTCCTGGTCCACCCATAGCTTTTTCAGCCGGCGAGACTGGATAAATCCGTCAAAACTGGGCCGAAGGAATTAGAACTTCTCACACCTCCATACCTCCAGTTTCCTTTGCATTGTGTTTGGCCCGGTTCAAGTCACAAAGTTCAGTGGATGGTTGGGGAAGAAGTACGCCACTCAATTCATTGAGAATAGATTGAGATCATATATACAGTTTATATACTATACTATAATATGAAAGTGTGAGACACAGGTATGTCAGATTGGCCGTCACCTTGAGG